TGTGTGTGTGTGTGTCTTAGCCTCCTTCGGTCCAGTCCTGTCCACCTCCCTCGGTGTGTACCAGATGCAGATGGGTCAGCTCACCCTTGAGGTGTCATCTGGTGACATCACCAAAGACACGAGTGATGTCATTGTCAACTCCTCGAATAAAACCTTTAACCTTAAAGCAGGTCAGTGTTTGTTTCTCAGTGCTTATGCTAAAAAAACAGAGATATCCTCGTTTGTTATATGTATCAGTATATTTATCTCTACAGCTGAGTAACCACAGCTGCATGTATCGAAAGTATTTTGAAAATGTATTTTTTGTGGTCTGTATTTAATTCTCTGACAGTGTAACGTCTGACTGGACCTCTTATTGTTCCGCAGGAGTCTCCAGGGCGATCTTGGAAGGCGCTGGAATAGCAGTTGAGCTGGAGTGTGCTCAGATTGGTGTGTACATGGAACGACAATAATCAGTTCCCTCAGTACCTCTGTGCTTCAAATTCATACAGTTGAGCAGTTCTAACTGACAATGTGTTGATATTTATTTCCACAGAGGGACAGACTCGATCTCCTCACAACCCTGAACATAATTCATTAAATGATTTCTTTTATATTTCATATAGCCCCAAGTTTTTAGCGAAGCCTGGATCTTTCCCACTGTTTTCACTTTTCATCACAAAATACGATTTGATATTTAAGATCACAAGCTAGATAAGTGAGACAATTTTCTACTTATGCTAATTATTTGTAACGCTAGACAAAGATGTGACAAAAACATGCACCGTATATTACCGACCTCTAAGCTCTAAGTTCAGTGAACTCAGAGACGACTTGAAACCTCGAACCTAAAATAGTCGTACAAAACCAGCGACAATAAAAGTTTTTCCAAGTCTTTAAACATACTGTGGCTTCTACGTTCACTTTAACAGCGCCTGTGAATAATCGATTACTCACACACACTAAAACTAGAACTAAACGAATCAAGGAGAGAAAAACTGTGTTGGTTCTGTTAACACCACCAGTCACAGAGGATAGAAGAATATTACAGTGATTTCAAAATATCGTCAAAGGCCTTGCTGTCCTACATCGGAGCCTGCCATTTACCAAAATCTGTTTTCTTTATAACAGCTCGCTCTGCCAGACTGCCACCATAGGCCTACATTTACCATGTATGACCTATACTGATTTGCTTTTCTGATTAAAATTAACAAGCTGTGGCTGTCCTGATAAGTGGTTACTCACAACAGAATATCATCTCTGAGATTACGACCTTGCACTGAATTGCTTGGCTCTTGGTATATTGTCACACTGAAATGAGCCGACTGCGCGTCGTGTTTAGAAAACTGTGCAACGTTTGTAAATCCTCATTAAAGTAATCACACCTATGAACGCTATTTGGGCATTGTGCTCATAGACTGTTCTGAGTAAATCTGGCCCTTTGTGTTATAAGTGTTGTGTGTTTCCTCTCTGCAGTGAGTTCATTGGCTCAGCCTCGTGCAATGATCCTGACATCAGCCGGGCAGCTGCCCAGCGGGAACATCATTCACATCATCGGCCAGAACGACCCTGAAAACATTAAAGACATGGTTTACTCGGTGCTGAAGGTCTGCGAGGAGAACAAGTTCAGCTCTGTGGCCTTCCCAGCCCTGGGAACAGGTCTGTACAAACTTTATACTCAGTTCACTGATTCACTGTGCAAACAGCTGATGGTTCATGGACGGTTCCATAAACCATCAGTATGGGTGGTGAATCACACCACTCTTACAAAGCTAAAGTCTGAACAGGGTTTGTGTCACAACAGATGTCTTTAATGCAGAGCTGAGACACACTAACTAACCCTTCTACAGTCGTGGCCAAAGGTTGTGAGAATCACATAAATATTGGAAATTGGAAAAGTTGCTGCTTAAGTTTTTATAATAGCAATTTGCATATAATCCAGAATGTTATGAGGAGTGATCAGATGAACTGCATCGTCCTTCTTTGCCATGAAAATTAACTTAATCCCAAAAAAGCCTTTGCACTGCATTTCATTGCTGTCATTCAAGGACCTGCTGAGATCATGTCAGTAATCGTCTTGTTAACTCAGGTGAGAATGTTGACGAGCACGAGGCTGGAGATCATTATGTCAGGCTGATTGGGTTAGAATGGCAGACCTGACATGTTAAAAGGAGGGTGATGCTTGAAATCATTGTTCTTCCATTGTTAACCATGGTGACCTCCAAAGGAACGCGTGCAGCTGCAGCCATCACTGCGTTGCATAAAAATGGCTTCACAGGCAAGAATATTGTGGCTACTAAGATTGCACCTAAATCAACAATTTATAGGATCATCAAGAACTTCAAGGAAAGAGGTTCAATTCTTGTTAAGAAGGCTTCAGGGCATCCAAGAAAGTCCAGCAGAACAACTAGAGGCTCTGAGTCCCATGGTAGTCAGTCGAGCAGGTGGAACAGACAGAAGGGAAGCTGAAGAAGAGCGGAGTGTACGAAGGGGCGAGTATGTATGGAGAAGATCGGATAGATATGGAGGAGCGAGGTTATGAAGCGCTTTGAAAGTGAGAAGCAGGATCTTGAAATTGACACGGAGGTGAACTGGGAGCCAATGGAGCTGTTTAAGAACAGGTGTTATATGTTCAGTGGATCTAGTTCTGGAAATAATACGAGCAGCTGTATTTTGAACCAACTGCAGTTTATGGAGGGATTTATGAGGTAAACCATAGAGAAGATGAATTAATAATCAGACTGGTGTGGATCAAGGACACATCTCAAACCTGCAGGACACCGGCCCTCAAGGCCTGGAGCTGGACACCTCTGCCATGAAGCATTGGTTTGTTGGTGATGTGTGTGAGATTGTTGCTGTGCTGAGTTTTACAAAGTGTACTCTTCATCCTCTTTCCATCCTTTCATCATCACCATCATCATCACTTGGTCCTTGTCTGCCTGTCAGGTCAGGGAGGGGTCAGCCCTTCAGCGGTGGCTGATGCCATGGTGGATGCAGTGGTGGAGTTTGTGAGGAAGAAACAGCCGAGGTTTGTTCAGAGTGTGAAGATCCTGATCTTCCAGACGGTCATGCTGAACCACTTCCACATGAGCATGAAGAAGAGACAGGGAGAGACGGTGGAGGAGAAGAGTGTCTTTGACAAATTCAAAGGTATGTCATTGTTCATTGGCAGGGAAGCCCAACTCTAGATGGGTTTTTTTTCATGTATAAAACCTTTTTTTCTGCACAGAAAAAATATTTTAAAATTTTCTCAAAACATAATCCTCGTTTTTTGGTTTTTTTGTTTTTTTTTAATGAAAGAAAAGCATTTCACAATAATCTCTGTACAGCTCTTTGGCTCTATACTGGAGATGAAAGTCTGTAAAAGCACATCACAAATATGTAAAATAGTTTGGAATTCATTCTTGGTCAATGTGTTGAAGGCAGTAATGCATCTGAGAGGGAATTTTCTTTCGGCATCCATTAGTCCCGTGATTATATTTAGAGCTGTGGCACGCTCTTTCTGCAGCAGGATGACGTTTGTGGGTCAGAGTGATAAAGGAAAATGTCACTGCCTTTATGGTGCAGCGTTAGAACTCTGTAGATCAAAGGAATTGGATATGTAATAATATAAATAGATATATGATGATAATAACAATAATAACAGTCTCACATTCACTACAGCCAACCCCAAATTCAAAAAAGTTGGGACACTGCATGAAATATAAATAAATAAATGGAATGATCTGCACAATAGAACACAGAAAACATATCAAGTGTTTAAACTAAAAATAAAAAGTACCATTTCAAGAAATGTTGGGACAGGGCCACGTTTCCCACTAAGTAGCATCTGTTCCTCTTTTACTCTGTAAATGTCTGGGAGCTGAGGAGAGCAGCTGCTGGACTTCTGGGAGAGGAATGTTGTCCCATCCTTGTCTCATAAAAGGATTCTAGTTGCTCAGCATACTCCTAGAGCCTCCATCCAGTTTAAATGAAGTTTGATCCAGAGAAGATGGCAGCATCTCTGTATCATATTCTCATATGACCTCTGCATGATGGAGCTTTCACCTGCATGTGTGGGTGCAGGCAGTGATTTACAGACGTGTTCCTGAGCCTCTGCACTGATCTCCATCCCAGAATCATGTTTGTAATGCAACGCTGCCTGATGACTTGAAGATCAAGATGAAGATTAAGAAAATCCAGTGTTTTCCACCTTATCAGAGAGATTTCTCCAGATTCGCTTCACTGAAAAACATTATTCTGACATTTTTCCATAATTTGTAGACAGTTTTTTGCAGATTGGTGAACCTCTGCCCATCTTTACTTCTGAGAAACTCGGCCTCTCTAAGATGCTCTTTTTACACCCATTAACAAACTGACCTGTTACCAATTAAACTTAATAGTCACAGGATGTTCCTCGAGCTTTTTGTTTTTATTACCACTTCCTTTTCCAGCCTTTTGTTGCTCCCGTCCTACCCCAACTTTGTTGAGACATGTTGCTGCCATAAAAATCAAAATGAGCCCATATTTTTCTTAAAGTGGTACATTTCCTCAGTCTAAATATTTAAGGAGTTTATGTTCTGTTGTTAGTTGAAAATTATTGCATTTGGTTTTTATTTACATTTCACAACACTCTGTTTTATTTTTTTCTTTGTTTCTTTAAATTTTGGTTGCACTTGGTTACATAAACACATTAGATAAGAACTGTAGCCAAAAGTGATGGTGACAGATTGCGCCTATAAACCTATAAAATGAATGCGAAACAGCCCATCAGGTCAGCTGAATCAGTTGTTTATTTTAAAGTTCAGGCTATATGAGGCTTTGTTAAGTATACATGTAGTTTTATTATTGTTTTATTGTTTCAGCAAAATTTCGTCAAGTCGCTTCAGTTCTGGGATTCGGGTCAGAAGAGTCCAGCCCTGTTGACTTAGTTCTGGAGAGGGAAGAGTTTGAGCCCACAGTGTTTCAGCTGTGTGCCGACGACAACAAGGTACACATACGTTTTATACTTTATTCCAACAATATTTAAAATTTTGCAGGGCAAGGCTTCCCACATCAAACAAAATAACTGAACTTGCAAATTTTTGTGCTAAATCAAAAGACACAATGAATCAAAGCCTGTATGGTTTTAAAAAATCCCCTCAGATTCTGTCAGATTCAAACTTTACAAAAAATTTACCATGGAGCACATTTTACATCGTGGGCCACAGGCCAGGCCCTTTCTCTCAGTTTAGAGAGAAAGGGCACATTCAATATAAAAAGAAGTGCAAGTTAAACTGCAGCTAATGATTATTTTAGCAAGTGTTGTACTGATCATTGCTTAATCAAGAAATCGGATAAGAAATGCATTTGTCTTATTAAAGAGCAATAATAAATATTTAAAAGGGAAAAAAAAGAATGAACTGCTCGTTGGTTTCTATTTTAGAACTTGCAATATTTAAAAACCCTCAGGCCATCAGCTCAGAGTTTAATGGCCCATTTACGTTTTTGATGCCCTGTGAAAAAAGCTTTTGTTTTTATATTTTTTAAAATTAATGCAATTTAATTAACACAGTATTTTATATTATTTCATTTTCAATCTGAAAAATGTTACAAAAGCCTTGAAACAAATACGGTCAAGTACACCTCATGTCCCCCTTTAGACTCACCCCTGTCTACTGCAGACATCACTTCCATGTCATATAGGACGGCTGCCGTCAGCCTTCAGCGAGCTGTATGATTTAAACATATATCAGACTAAGTTAATAATTCATCTGCATATTTTAATTGTCTTCTGGAGCTTCCTGCAGATTTTTCACAGAGTTCACATTTATTTACTTCAAAGCTTGTTGATCAGGAGCTTTTCAGGACTAGTTTTTTCCCAGTAAATGTTTTAATGGGCGATTATTATTTTATCAAAATGTGTCGATGCCTGTAACTAAAATGTACCACGATTTCTCCAACCCTGCAGGCTCTGAGTCAGGCCAAGAAAAGGATTAATGACCTGATT